TTCCCTTTTCTCCCTCAGGCTGCCCCCCATAGATCCCTTCCTATCCCCCTTCTCTCCCTCAGGCTGCCCCATAGATCCTCTCCTATTCCCCTTCTCTCCCTTAGGCTGCCCCCATAGATCCCTTCCTCTCTCCCTCAGGGTGGCCCTATAGATTCTCTCCTATGCCCTTCTCTCCCTCAGGCTGCCCCCATAGATTCTCTCCTATTCCCCTTCTCTCCCTCAGGCTGCCCCCATAGATCCCTTCCTATCCCCGTTCTCTCCCTCAGGCTGCCCCCATAGATCCTCTCCTATTCCCCTTCTCTCCCTTAGGCTGCCCCCATAGATCCCTTCCTCTCTCCCTCAGGGTGGCCCTATAGATTCTCTCCTATTCCCCTTCTCTCCCTCAGGCTGCCCCCATAGATCCCTTCCTATCCCCGTTCTCTCCCTCAGGCTGCCCCCATAGATCCTCTCCTATTCCCCTTCTCTCCCTCAGGCTGCCCCCCCATAGATCTCTTCCTATCCCCCTTCTCTCCCTCAGGCTGCCCCCACAGATCCTCTCCTATTCCCCTTCTCTCCCTCAGGCTGCCCCCATAGATTCTCCCCTATTCCCTTCTCTCCCTCAGGCTGCCCCCCCCATAGATCTCTTCCTATCCCCCTTCTCTCCCTCAGGCTGCCCCCATAGATCCTCTCCTATTCTCCTTTTCTCCCTCAGGCTGCCCCATAGGTTCTCTCCTATTCTCCTTCTCTCCCTCAGGCTGCCCCCCATAGATCCCTTCCTATCCCCCTTCTCTCCCTCAGGGTGGCCCCATAGATCCTCTCCTATCCCCTTCTCTCCCTCAGGCTGCCCCCATAGATCCTCTCCTATTCTCCTTCTCTCCCTCAGGCTGCCCCCCATAGATCCCTTCCTATCCCCCTTCTCTCCCTCAGGGTGGCCCCATAGATCCTCTCCTATCCCCCTTCTCTCCCTCATGCTGCCCCCATAGATCCTCTCCTATTCTCCTTCTCTCCCTCAGGCTGCCCCATAGATCCTCTCCTATTCTCCTTCTCTCCCTCAGGCTGCCCCCCATAGATCCCTTCCTATCCCCCTTCTCTCCCTCAGGGTGGCCCCATAGATCCTTTCCTCTCTCCCTCAGGGTGGCCCTACAGATTCTCTCCTATGCCCTTCTCTCCCTCAGGCTGCCCCCATAGATCCCTTCCTCTCTCCCTCAGGGTGGCCCCATAGATCCCTTCCTCTCTCCCTCAGGGTGGCCCTACAGATTCTCTCCTATGCCCTTCTCTCCCTCAGGCTGCTGCCCCATAGATTCCTATTCCCCTTCTCTCCCTCAGGCTGCCCCCATAGATCCCTTCCTCTCTCCCTCAGGGTGGCCCTATAGATTCTCTCCTATTCCCTTCTCTCCCTTAGGTTGCCCCCATAGATTCTCTCCTATTCCCCTTCTCTCCCTTAGGCTGCCCCCATAGATTCTCTCCTATTCCCTTCTCTCCCTCAGGCTGCCCCCATAGATCCCTTCCTATCCCCGTTCTCTCCCTCAGGCTGCCCCCATAGATCCTCTCCTATTCCCCTTCTCTCCCTTAGGCTGCCCCCATAGATCCCTTCCTCTCTCCCTCAGGGTGGCCCTATAGATTCTCTCCTATGCCCTTCTCTCCCTCAGGCTGCCCCCATAGATTCTCTCCTATTCCCCTTCTCTCCCTTAGGGTGGCCCCATAGATCCCTTCCTATCCCCGTTCTCTCCCTCAGGCTGCCCCCATAGATCCTCTCCTATTCCCTTCTCTCCCTCAGGCTGCCCCCCCCATAGATCTCTTCCTATCCCCCTTCTCTCCCTCAGGCTGCCCCCATAGATCCTCTCCTTCCCCTTTTCTCCCTCAGGCTGCCCCATAGGTTCCTCTCCTATTCTCCTTCTCTCCCTCAGGCTGCCCCCATAGATCCTTCCTATTCTCCTTTTCTCCCTCAGGCTGCCCCCATAGATCCTCTCCTATTCTCCTTTTCTCCCTCAGGCTGCCCCATAGGTTCCTCTCCTATTCTCCTTCTCTCCCTCAGGCTGCCCCCATAGATCCCTTCCTCTCTCCCTCAGGGTGGCCCCATAGATCCTCTCCTATCCCCCTTCTCTCCCTCAGGCTGCCCCCATAGATTCTCCCCTATTCCTTTTCTCCCTCAGGCTGCCCCCATAGATCTCTTCCTATCCCCCTTCTCTCCCTCAGGCTGCCCCCATAGAGATCCCTTCCTCTCTCCCTCAGGGTGGCCCCATAGATCCTCTCCTATCCCCCTTCTCTCCCTCAGGCTGCCCCCATAGATTCTCCCTATTCCCCTTTTCTCCCTCAGGCTGCCCCCCCCATAGATCTCTTCCTATCCCCCTTCTCTCCCTCAGGCTGCCCCCATAGATCCTCTCCTATTCTCCTTTTCTCCCTCAGGCTGCCCCATAGGTTCTCTCCTATTCTCCTTCTCTCCCTCAGGCTGCCCCCATAGATCCCTTCCTATCCCCCTTCTCTCCCTCAGGGTGGCCCCATAGATCCTCTCCTATCCCCCTTCTCTCCCTCAGGCTGCCCCCATAGATCCTCTCCTATTCTCCTTCTCTCCCTCAGGCTGCCCCCCATAGATCCCTTCCTATCCCCCTTCTCTCCCTCAGGGTGGCCCCATAGATCCTCTCCTATCCCCCTTCTCTCCCTCAGGCTGCCCCCATAGATCCTCTCCTATTCTCCTTCTCTCCCTCAGGCTGCCCCCATAGATCCCTCCTATCCCCCTTCTCTCCCTCAGGGTGCCCCATAGATCCTTTCCTTCTCTCCCTCAGGGTGGCCCATAGATTCTCTCCTATTCCCCTTCTCTCCCTCAGGGCTGGCCCCATAGATCCCTTCCTCTCTCCCTCAGGGTGGCCCTACAGATTCTCTCCTATGCCCTTCTCTCCCTCAGGGTGGCCCCATAGATCCCTTCCTCTCTCCCTCAGGGTGGCCCTATAGATTCTCTCCTATTCCCCTTCTCTCCCTCAGGCTGCCCCCATAGATCCCTTCCTATCCCCTTCTCTCCCTCAGGCTGCCCCCATAGATCCCTTCCTCTCTCCCTCAGGGTGGCCCTATAGATTCTCTCCTATTCCCCTTCTCTCCCTTAGGTTGCCCCCATAGATTCTCTCCTATTCCCCTTCTCTCCCTTAGGCTGCCCCCATAGATTCTCTCCCTATTCCCTTCTCTCCCTCAGGCTGCCCCCATAGATCCCTTCCTATCCCCGTTCTCTCCCTCAGGCTGCCCCCATAGATCCTCTCCTATTCCCTTCTCTCCCTTAGGCTGCCCCCATAGATCCCTTCCTCTCTCCCTCAGGGTGGCCCTATAGATTCTCTCCTATGCCCTTCTCTCCCTCAGGCTGCCCCCATAGATTCTCTCCTATTCCCCTTCTCTCCCTCAGGCTGCCCCCATAGATCCTTCCTCTCTCCCTCAGGGTGGCCCTATAGATTCTCTCCTATGCCCTTCTCTCCCTCAGGCTGCCCCCATAGATTCTCTCCTATTCCCCTTCTCTCCCTTAGGGTGGCCCCATAGATCCCTTCCTATCCTAATCCTTGGTTAGAGGATTAAGCACAAAAGATTTGTAACCAATCAATACACTTTCTGTAATTGTAATGGATGATAATTGTTTTATATTTTAAGTTTTGTTTAAAAATAAAAAAAAAAATCCAAAAAAAAAGAAGGGAGTTAGGGGAGGATCTATGGGGGCAGCCTGAGGGAGAAAAGGCTGGTTGTAACTAGTCGTTATTTTTCAAACTCTTAAGTTTCGATTTATCAAGCTGTAGCACCTAGTTTCGTTTCCAGAGAAGCAAGGGTGTCCAGCTATTGTTTTTGTGTGTGTGTGTGTGTGTGTGTCCTGTTTGTTTCTGTGTCTGTGTGTGTGTTTATATACATACAGACACACACACACACACACACACATTAATCACATTAATCACATTTTTGTATTATATTGCACAAGAGTGAAATTGGGAAATTAAATATTAATAACAAAAGTATACAGAAGAGTGCAGTTCAGTGCCTAGGTTGGCCTTTCATGCAAAGGGATCTCACTCTCCCAAGTGAGTCTGGCTGGCACAACAGCAGGGGTGAAATCCAGCAGGTTCCGACAGGTTCTGGAGAACCGGTAGCGGAAATTTTGAGCAGTTCGGAGAACCAGCAAATATCCTTTTTTGCAATATCCTTCCCCCAGGAGTAGGGAGGGAATGGGGATTTTGCAGTATCCTTGCCCTGGAGCGGGGTGGGAATGGAGATTTTGCAACATCCTTCCCCTGAAGCAGGGTGGGAATGGAGATGTTGCAATATCCTTCCCCCAGGAGTAGGGAGGGAATGGGGATTTTGCAGTAACCTTCCCCTGCAGCGGGGTGGAAATGAAGATTTTGCAACATCCTTCCCCTGCCACGCCCACCAAGCCACACCCACAGAACCGGTAGTAAAAAAAAAATTGGATTTCACACTGCTCAACAGTAATAAAATCGAACTTCTGGCTGCCTCAAAAGTGGTTTTAATTTCCTCTTATCCTTGCCCTTCAGGCATCCCATTTAAAAGCCCTTCCTTTTAAGAGGCAGAAGATGCCTTAAGCCGCAGTTTCTCAACCTTGGCAACCTTTAAGACTTGTGGACTCCCACTCCCAGAATCCCCCACCCTGCATGCAGGGGATGATAGAACGTGTAATACCTCCAATATCTGGAGGCCGCCAGGTTGACGATGGTCGGGTTGCAACTGACTTTCATTTTTTCCCACAAAAAGAAATTCAATTACTTTCCTCCAAAATCCGGATGGGAAATAATTCTGCCCGGATGACAATGCTTTCCCAGCTCATACATAATAATATGTATACATAATACATAATATAATAATACATAATAATATGAATTTTATATATATAATAATAATATGTATGTTATAATATAACATAATACATAATATACATAATACATAATAATATGTATCATATAGATACATACATAACAAATACCAAGAATCTAATTAGCAATTAATTGCATTTTAATTTAAATTTGACAATTTGAACTTACTTTGACTTTCGCCTAATTTGCAAACAGCCTCCGCTGTTGCATACGCACCGCAAATAGCTCCCAGCCAGCGCAATCTAATGGGTTCACACTTCAACCAATGAAACCCCGCCTCTTGCGACTGATGGGTCTCTGCTGCCCTATCGCAGAGCTCGCTCCTTCTTCAAGTTGAAGAGCGGCCGGATCCGGACCAATGAAAACTCGCGGGCAATTGGACCCCTCCTCTCCCCAAAGGAATGCAGGAAAACTACAAGCATAGAGTACTGCGCAGCACTCATTTCCGCCCCCCCCCCGGGTTTGGGAGGGGGGAAGCTGAATTCAACCCTTGTCAAAGTCTCCTTTGAGGTCCCAAAGATGTTTTTTTTTTCAAGAGACATTTCTTGTTTTTTTTCTTTTGAAGACGTTTCGCTTCTCATCCAAGAAGCTTCTTCAGCTCTGACTGGATGGTGGGGAATGGAAGGATTTATATTCCTTGCAGACAGCTGGTCATTTTAGCTATACAATTTGGGATGAACACGGTATGAATGGTGTGGGAGTAAGAATGGATTTCCAGAGAGAGAAGAAAAAATTGCAGACTACAGGAACCTTGTGCACTACTCAGGTGGCCCTGATGTTGTGGAATGGAAGGACTAAAAAACATTCCCAGGCCAGTCAGAGAGAGTTTATTGCGCAAGGTTCAGAGCCAGATTTGTACCTGAAGCTTTGAACAAAGAAAGAACTCTGATACAATGGTTTTTATACATTTCTAAGACAAAGGATTCAGTGAGATCATACATTTTCCATATATGGTTAATCATGAGATCATACATCCGATTTTCCTTCTATGGTTATATTTACTTGTTAATAAGTTCATCTAATTACTTAAAGCATTAATCTTAGTTTATAAGATTATCTTAGCCACACAACTTTTCTTAAGTGCTCAGAGTCGCTAATGGGAGAGTTACTACTGTCCTTGGGTAAATTCATTAGATTAAGTAACTCTTTGTAACATATAGGTCTTTGTGTCATTCACAGTCAGGTCACTCAGATGTTTTTCCATATAGCAGTCCTTTCCTTGACATCTAGGTATCAGAAGATATATTACCACTTAAAAGGGGTTTAACTGTTTGTTAATGTAATTTCCAACAAGCACTTTCCTCTCTTATAATAATGTTAGATAGAGTCTCTCAGAGTTCATGTATCCAAGCACGTCTTCCCCTTATAATAATGTGAATAGAGAGGGTCCCCCAGAGCCCATATATCTGACTCTGTATGATTCCTATTTTATTCACATTATTTCTTTTATCTACATTATTCTTTATTTGCTCTTTACTTCACTGAGGACACAGATAAACCTCCAAGTAGCCTCAATTACTCTCTAAAAAGGATTCAAATACCTAGCTGCCTGCAAAATAAATCCTTCCATTGCCCACCATCCAGTCAGAACTGAAGAAGCTTCTTGGAGGAGAAGTGAAACGTCTTCAAAGAAAAAACAAGAAAGTCCAGTTGCCTCCTGAAGAAGCACTGTAAGGAAATAGATATACTGAAATAGTAGAAACTTGTTAGTTGTTTTCTGCAACATATATATGTATCATATATGATGTCTTTGTATACCTGCATGCTGTAAATATTTGTTTCCTGGAACACATACATATATTATGCCTTTAAAGTTGTAATACAAATATGCCACATTGACTAACTTCCTGGAACAAACATATACTGTTATTGGGGTCTATAAAGTATCTGGCATTTGTGAAAACGTATGTTCCACCTTTTGATCAGAGCCTTATCTCTGTATCTGTATCTTGAGTTCCCTTCACTCCAGGGGGCTAAATAGCCAAGTGTGAACACAAAGAAGATGATCAGGAAGAGATAATAATAATAATAATGCTAATGGTGCTAATCAAGGGGCTCTACTCTGTTCCAGGGGATACGCAAATCAAAGATGCCAGAATTGGAGGATTATGACTTTCCTGAACAATATAAAGGATTCACATTCCCTTTGTCAGGGTTCCAAGGAACACTCCCAACAAAATAAAGCTCCAAGGTCTGAGGTTCCTCAAAGTTTCGATTTATTAGAAATGTCATGTTGACACTTCTGGGAAAACCCAAATCTGAAAGCTTCCAGGTTTCTCCCACTCAGCTAAGAATTCACAGCCCTGCCCCACACCCACAAGTTCATCACATTGTCCAATCAACTTTCACACTCCACCATCAATCTTCGTGCAATCTGAATCAGACGCAGGCAAAAGTCCTTGAGTACAGAATGTTGTTATGACTAACTTTCTACCGCTTCAACAACAACCCTCTCCCAACTTCCCCAGCTAAAATATGTGGCAGTTAAGAAGCAAAAAATAAATTTGTCTTCCAAAACTGATACCCTTTCTTGTTTGTAGTTCTTCCCTGCATGTATCTTGTATGTGTTTGGAACAGCTAACCATTTAAGCTTGACCAAGATTAAATGCTATTTCACTCAAGCCTCTGTTTAAGTTTCTTGTTTGGCATTTATGAGCTTAAACATATTATTATTGGACCTTACGGCACAAAAGGAATTAAGGAGGAACTTCCTAACCGTGAGGACAATTAATCAGTGGAAGGGATTGCATTCAGAAATTCTGGGTGCTCCATCCCTGGAGGTTTTTAAGAAGAGTCTGGACTGTTGTGGATTTAATAAGACCAACACAACTTTTGGGTTAATCAGAGACAATTTGTATATTGCGCAATAGGTTCAAGGCTCTGTACATGAAGCGTTGAACAAAGACAGAAATTAGGTACAATGGTTTTTATACCCTTCTAGACAAAGGATTCTGTTAACTCAGCAATTCATATGGTCATATACATTTGTCATTTTTAATTGACATTTCCTAATTACTGAGTTTCTTTGCAAAACAATTATAATTCTTTTTGTAGATTACTGAAGCATAGACTCAAATCATCTTCTGACGATAGACAACTTTTAACTCATGTGGATCCCCTTGACCTAACCAACCTTTAAGCTGTATGTCATTAGAATGTTCCTTTCTTCTGACAATTTAGAGGACTCCTAGAGGTACCAAAAGGATTTTGGCTGAGTTTATACTTTTTCCAACCGGATGCATTGCTTTTTAGAATAGAGTGAATAGAAAGTTATCCAGTGGTCATCTATCAGAGCCCGCTTCATTTACATTAGGACAGTCACCTGTCTGAAATGGTATCGGGCAGTGCAGTGGTGGGATTCAGGTAATTTAACAACCGGTTCTCTGCCCTAATGATTTCTTCCAACAACCAGTTTGCCAAACTGCTCAGGAAGTTAACAACCGGTTCTCCCGAAGTGGTGCGAACCGGCTGAATCCCACCACTGGGGCAGTGATGGCTAACTTTTTTCTCTTCGTGCGTGCGTGCCAGCACCCATAATGCAATGTGCGCCAATCACATGCACACACAACCCCCCCCTGTGCCCCCTGCACATGTGCACACAGCCCCCCACGCCTACTCGGCCTGGTGCACCACAGCAGGGGGACGTTTCAGGGCCCCCAGGCTACAAAGGCTTTGCTCGAGCCTCCAAGAGGACAAAGACGGTCTCTCCAGGCTCCGGAGGCTAGAAACGGGCCTGTTTCCAGACTTCCGGAAAGCCTGTTTTTCACCCTCGCCAGGCTCCACGCGGGCCCTGCACTTACCTGGCATCCAAAATGGGCCATGTAGAGACTCCTGGAAGTCTCCTGGGTTAAAAAATGGGCAACCCCCGCGCTCCGCCCCACACATTTGTGCATGAACCCCCCGCTCTCCTGCGCATGCGCACGCATCTCCCACATGCACCCCACCCCCTGTACATCCTGAAAATCAGCTTGCTGGTGGAAGGCACACACGCAAATGCGCAGTGAAGCTGAGCTGGGCGACAGCTCGCGTGCCAGCTGTGGCACGTGTGCCATTGGTTCGCCTCATGGGGCAGGGTCAGCAACCTGTGGCTCTGGAGCCACATGTGGCTCTTTCACCCCTCTGCTGTGGCTCCCTGTCACTCAAAATATGTGTCACAACTGCCAATGTGCGACACCCACTGGCACATGATTAATTTTTTTTAAAAAAAATTGATTTATATGCCGCCCTTCTCCGGAGACTCAGGGCGGCTTACAATGCGCTAAGCAATAATCTTCATCCTTTTGTATATTTATACAAAGTCCGCTTATTGCCCCCACAAACCGGGTCCTCATTTTACCTACCTTTGAAAGGATGGAAGGCTGAGTCAACCTTGAGCCTTGGCGAGATTTGAACCTGCAGTAATTGCAGGAAGCTGGTCTTAACAACCAGCTTAATAACAGGGTGCCTTAGACCACTGTACTACCAAGGCCCTTTTGAGCTTGAGCTTTTCAATCCCCGGTAGGATAAATCAAGGAAAAGAAAAAAAATCAGAAGAAAATAGAATGTTTAATTCAACTACATATGCCAGTTTTGTGGCCGCTCAAGAAATCGTCAGGCACGGGAAGGGTTTTGTGGCTCCCGGTGTTCTCTTTTCTGTGGGAAACGGATCTAAATGGCTCTTTTGAGTGTTTAAGTTTGCAGAGCCCTGGAATAGGGTCTCCTGCTGGAGCACGAAACTGGACTAGAAGACCTCCAAGGTCCCTTCCGGTTCTATTCTATTCTAGGTTTATTCTAGGTTGGGTGTCAAACTGGTGGCCCGCGGGCTGGATGTGTCAGACGCAGGCCATGCCCACCCTAGCTCCGTGAAGGGAAAAAAACGTGATACGTCACATGACACCGCAAGTTTGTCACCCGTGTTCTAGATGCTAAGTTAGTAACACCGTTGTTAAGCAAATCTGGTTTCCCCATTGACTTCGCTCATCAAAAGGTCAGAAAAGGTGTTGTGGTTCGCCAGCAGCCTGCAGAGCTGGCAGCGGAGTCGGACAGCGATGAGGCTGAGGAAGAACGTGGGCCAGTCCTGGAGGCTGGGGAAGGCCCGGATGAGGGCTCTGTGTCGAAGGCAGAGATGGGGCCAGGGTAAGGTGACCAGATTTTAACATTGGTAAAGAGGGACATTGTGGGCGTGGCTTATTTTGTGGGCGTGGCTAGCTGGTCATGTGACTGGGTGGGCGTGGCTAGCTGGTCATGTGACCGGG